CTTCTAAATGTGGTAAAACATGGCAAACCAGCCAAAATGTTTTGTCTTTTTTTTTGTGTGTGTAAGAAACATAATGCAGCAAAATGCTAATGCAAAAATGCTAAAGAATGTAGAAAAACTTGCATTTTTAACGTGTCTTTATACAGCTAACGCTACCGGCATTTTTAAACCGCCTAGTGTACACGAGGATTTAAGATTAGCAATAGTTAATGTTGATTGGAAGAGTTCCACTTTAATGTCCAGCCATTCTGACTGGTGAAAACTCAGACTGTTATAGGCTGCTTGCAATTGAACCCAGACCCTGTACATTACCATGGACAATCAATATGATGGGCTGTGTGTCATTGGCAGATAGAAATGTATCGATGGAGGGAGGAACTGGTCAAATTTTAACAATATGATGAGGAGTTGGAGCTTTGCCGAATGGGAACCCCTAGCATTCACTTGAAGCAGAGGATACTGAAAGCATGGTCTAGGCTGGTCAGCAACTTTCAATATAGCAGAGACTGTTTCATGGAAAGTTTGCATCAACAAATTGAAATGTGTACTGATGCTTTTTTATGGGTTGCCATGTTTTTTTTTAATATGATTGTACACTCACTCTATTGGTGTACATTCCTTGATGTCACTTCTGTAATTATGAAATTAAAAAGGTGTGTTAAATGCTTGTACGTGCTTTTTGTAAATTTTTCATGATTAAGCCGGCTATAGATGGTTTTAATCTTGGCTAGTTCAGCAGGGACCGCCCAAGATTCGAACAATCTACGGGCAGGCTGATTGTACTCAGTTCGATTGTTGCACAACTTTGGTATAACCAGCATGTTGGAATTTTACATGCAATTACTGCTATAGCCACGAGCAATAATCGCCGTGTGCGGACGTTTCCCTGTGCACTCCCGCCAGGAGAACACAATAGCTCAATGGGAGGGAATCGAGCGATTTTTCTTTCCTGCTACCCTTAAGTTATGAACTGCTAGCAGAGCAGTAAAGCAGATACTTGCCTTTTGATATTGTCATTGTCTCTAAGGTTCTCCAAAGCTAAGGGCATTCACTTTTGCATCTCCACCTTTCTGCCCTTACCACTTCCCACCACCAAACACTTTGAGGAATCAATGAGATGCAGAAGGGGACTTCTGTAGCTTATATATGTGTGCTGTTTGAATCTTTTTATTTTAAGTTGTGGGCATATTAACTCTTAGATTAAGTTCATATTTTTATCATTATTATTATTGGATTCATAACACTGTGCGTATATATACTGTATGCGTGTGTGTGTGTGTATGTATGTATATGTATATATATATATATATATATATATATGTGTGTGTGTATATAATTATTATTATGATACAGGATTTATATAGCGCCAACAGTTTGCGCAGCGCTTTACAAAATGAAGGTAGACATTACAGTTACAATACAATTTGGTAAGAGGAAACAGAGGGCCCGGCTCGTTACAGCTTACAATCTAGGAGGAAGGGCTGAGTGATACAAAAGGTAATAGCCATGGGGGAATGAGCTGATGGAGGAATTAAAAAGCAGTTTACTAGTTAGAAGCAGGATAGGCTTCTTTAAAGAGAAGGGTTTGCAGGAATCGTCTAAAGGTGCATAGATTAGGAGATAGTCGAACAGATTGGGGTAGGGAGTTCCATGGGATGGGAGAAGCTCAGGAGAGGTCCCGGAGGCGCGCATGGGAGGAGGAGGCATGGTAAATAGAGAGCAGAAGGTCTTGGGAGGATTGAAGAGAGCAGTTTGGTTGATATTTTGAGAACATGCTGGTGATGTAGCTGGGGGCAGAGTTGTGGATGGCTTTTTAAGTTTTTGGCGACTGAAAGCCAGTGTAGGGATTGGCAGAGAGGGGTAGCAGACACTGAATGGTTGCTAAGGTGGATGAGCCTGGCAGCAGTATTCATGATGGCCTGGAATTTTTTAACTTTGTATGTAATAAATTCTAATGGTTTTATCTTGGATTACACTCAGCGGCCACTTTATTAGGTCCACCTTGCTAGTACTGGGTTGGACTCCTTTTGCCTTCAGAATTGCCTTAATTCTTCATGGCGTAGATTCAACAAGGTGTTGGAAACATTCCTCAGAGATTTTGGTCCATATTGACATAAGTTACTGTTGCCTTTCTATCATCTCGAAACAGTCTCCTCATTCTCCTCTGACATCAACAAGGCATTTTAGTCCACACAACTGCTGCTCACTGGATATTTTCTCTTTTATCAAGACCATTCTGTGTAAACCCTAGAGATGGTTGTGCATGAAAAACTCAGCAGATCAGCAGTTTTTGAAATACTCTGACACCAACAACCATGCCACGTTCAGAGTCACTTAAATCCCCTTTCTTCCCTATTCTCATGCTTGGTTTGAACTTCAGCAAGTCGTCTTCACCACGTCTAGATGCCTAAATGCTTTGAGTTGCTGCCATGTGATTGGCTGATTAGCAATTCGTGTTACCAAGCAATTGAACAGGTGTACATAATAAAGTGGCCGATGAGTGTATGTGTGGTATTGAATTACTTTGCACCTATTATGGAGGAGTGTGCTTCTTTGTAAGGAGTGTGCTTCTCTCCTTTTTTTCTTGCACAGCAAAGTTAATATTAACCCACTAATTAGCAGCATTAGAGTCAGGAGTGAAAAGTCACAGAATCTTCAGCAAAGTACAAGGGAGCCATTTTCGAAGGACTGAAGTTGGAACCTTGTATTCAATGTTGTTCATGTAGGCCCCATTAGGAATACTGAACATGGACACCATCATAGCATTGATATTGTAGATAGCCAGGATCATTCATGATGGTGATTCCCATGAAGTGCCAACTGGTATAAATGGAGCTGTATATGGTGAGAAGTGGAAGGCCACAGGTGTAAAAATAGGCAGTTTGTGCAGGTATGACATTCTTGAGGTGCGTTGGGAGATCTTGAGTAACTTCGGTAATGTAGTACTGTGTTGGGAGGACAAATATCTGTAACATTTTATATGAGACAACAGTGACGATATATTATTTGCACAGTTTTTTGTAGGCTATGTTCAGCACTAATAGTCATTACAATAAGACCACTTTTGTGTATTTGGTAGATACTGGTATACTTTTTTTTTGGCTTTCTATTGAAGCACACTGGTCTACGGTGCATAAAGTAATGTTAAGGCATCCTAAACTGCACAGAATGGGTCTAAAGTCTGCTTGATAAATTTAGGGATGTGTTCTGCATATCACTGTTTAGTATTATTCATAAAACCAGCAGTCTATAAGGCAGAAAAAAAAAAACTGATTTCACATTTAGGACACAGAAGTAATAGGCTAGATAAGCACCATGTGAGGACATTGCAGTCAACTAAATGCATTTTATGTTCATTTTCACTGAGAGGGGCCTTTTTATAGATCCCATAAATTATACACAGTTGGTTTCCTGTTATACTGAATTTATCTTTTCAGAGTTTTTCCTTTCCTTTAGTAATACTGCATTCAAAATGCACTGTAAAAAATCATTCAAAAACTAGCAATTTCACTGCATGTACTGTCCTATCAATGTAAATGGATTAAATATTACATTTTAAAGGCTCATGCTACCTAAAACTGTTATATCTGGTGGGCTAAACCATTTATATCATATGTGTTGCCTTCTTTTTAATGGGGATTCTGAAAGCTGAAGATTATTATGTCCGAGTCCCAAGCGCTGCCCCAGACCAGTGCACACCTTCTACACTAGAGACCTCAGTTTGCCCACTGCATTCTTTTACTCTGCTGTAAAATCCCACTGGTTAAGCAAGATTTCATATGGTGCCTCTGTCACATGGCCAGCTTGGTGCACTAATCCCTTCTTTCACAAATACCCTGAGATTTAGAAGGCGGCAGGGGCAGACTGACCATTTGGAAACTCTGGAACTGCCCGAGGGCCCGGGGTCAGTAGGGGGCCCCATGAGATGCCCCTGGTACCTTTTTTTATCATAGGCTTTTTTGAGTTTGGGCAAGGACACAGGGGCCCCATTATCCCCTATTGCCCGGGGGCCCCCATGAGTTGTCAGTCCGCCCCTGGAAGGCAGTTTTGGGCAATCAAACTTTTGTGCATCAATCCAGTTTGGAATTATTAGCTTTGAATGGCTGGACCCCTTCATGTACAGTTTTGAAGAACTTTTAGCACATTTATGTTTACAAGTTCCATTTCTAAGTCCTGGGAATTCACATTCTAGAAAGATTTGTATTTTGGACATCTCTTACAAAGCATATTTAAATAAGAGAGTTTGTGCTTCAAGAAATTGACAGCAGCAAGCACACTTGGTGTATCTCATCAAAATTGTGTATCAATCAGTGCTATAAAACACTATAAAATAAAAGGTGTAAAATAAATACATAAAATTATATATATTACAGGTAGCAATGTCAATTTACGCAGTGCTATACATATATATTGTGCATTCCGATCAGTCCCTAACCCTCAAGGAGGGTACAATGTAAGGGCCCTTACTCACATTCATACATATACATACTAGGGCCAATTTAGACAGCAGCCAATTAACCTACCAGCATGTTTTTGACCGGAGTACCCAAAAGAAAAGAATGCAGACTCCAGGCAGGTAGTGCCAGGGTTGGGATTCGAACCAACCATCCTAGTGCTGCTAGATGGAAGTGTTAACCTCTTACCCACTGTATTGTGTGTTTTATTTTTTTAAATATATATATAATCATCAAAGCAGACAAAAATTACATCAGAATGAACAAAAATTTTGTGTAATCATCTGAATCATGAATGAATAAATAGTTTTTGGACTAATATCACAGCCTTATTTTGCAAAACAAAAAGGTCCAGACAAGTCCAAAAAGTGATAAGAAAATCCTATGTGTGCCAACGTTGCCAGAAGACCCCCAAACTCACCTCCCCGATGGGCCCCAATCTGTGTATCGATGTGTATTGTAGATTCACAAATGACCGGAGAAAGTGTTTGTTGTCCAGAGATCTTTTTAAATAAAGAAAAGGGTCTCTAAGATTATTTTATTTATTTTCACACAGGCTCTGGGCACAATGAAGAGGATCCCAGGGAGTGCATCTATTACAACGTCAACTGGGAGACAGAGAAGACAAACCAGAGTGGTGTGGAAAGGTGTGATGGAGAGAAGGACAAGCGGCTTCATTGTTATGCATCTTGGAGGAATAACTCTGGCTTCATTGAACTTGTGAAGAAAGGCTGTTGGTTAGACGATTTCAACTGCTATGACAGGTAAGCTGCAAGCAAACCTGAATCAAAGTAACATGTAATTATTCCATTGGGCATTGAATGTCCCATTTCATAAGAAGTCTTATTCTACATATATAACACAAAGGAACACCTCACTCAAGACTTCTTTCAGTTTTGGATGATCGTGAGGGGAAATAAGGTTGTTGAATTATCCACAAATTCTTTATGCTCTTCTAGTCTAGTCATAACACTTTTTACAGAGATTGGTAAACCATTGACATAAGCCCCTTCCCCTAAAGGAGCAAATGCAAGCCATAGACAATGTCCTTTCCTTAACCATGGGTTGTAGGGAGGAAAATCACTCAATCCCCCCATCAGTGCAGTCAGTGTTGATGGGGGAATCCCTCCTGCAGCCCTATTGTGTCCTTCCAGCAGGGAGCCTTCCATGACAGCAGAATGCAATGATCAGCCACTGGCAGTAATCTCTTGTAAAGAATCCAATAGGCTGGTGGAACTGAAGTCGTTAGTTGGATCGACTTCAGTACAGCCAGCCTGCCCATAGATGAATCTGTCCCTGCTGAACTGGCTGAGATTTGATTCATTGATGTCCAGCTTTACAGTCTACATACCATACCACAGCCAAGAGTGCACCTAACAACATGAACTACAATCCGTTTGGAGGAAGGTCAATTAACCTACTAACAACATATATGGTGCGAACCATCAAACTGCAGCGGTGTGTTGCTGGTGAGAGCCAAACCCAGGTCTGACATTGTCAGGTTGATATTCTTCTGATCTGGCTTCCATATTGTTTTAGACTCAATAACCTTGAACTAGTATTTTATATCTTTCTTCCATGTCAGAGACTGAAATTATTGAAGCCATTTGATCAGCATGGCAGCCAAGAAACGAGCATTTTAGGAAGGAGAGTTCAATAGTGGCAACCACAGGTTTCTTATGAAAGGTTTCCTTTAATCTCTTTGTGAAAAATATTGTTACTTATTAAAACATAATTAAATTGCTACTCCAGGAGTTTCTGTAATTGCAGCTCTTGTATATAAACCTCAGGCAGCAGCACTGTTGCAATAGAATAATTTATTCAGAAACCGTGTTACCCTTTTTTGAACTGTGACTTATTTTAGTTAACATGAATGGTAAAACATTTTCTAAAATACATTTTTCAAGTGGAAGCCCTGGAGTTTCACCGCTTATTATTTTGTGAGGTTGTCCTCCCCCAAGAGATTTGCCTTTTTTCATGTAATCATTTTTTCTGCTTCTTTTCCATCTATGCTGCAATGTACATGACTTGATCAATATATATCTCTGTGTGTCTGGCACCCATATACCTGACAGCTGTCCTCCAGTCCCTTTCACATAAACATGACATATTCTTGTTGAGTGAGGATTTTTCAGTAAAATGACATTGTCATTCTTTGCACTCGAGGACACATTCATACAGTTTATTAGACACTGCCTTAATTTATACTAGCACGCGTCTGATGTTCAACTACACATATAAAAATGATTCAAGCTGCTGTACACTGCAATCAGGCAGAGGGACAAGTTCAAATGTTGCCCAGTTTTGATCACTCACTATATATTTATTCAGAGCTGGGGACTTGTGCTTCATCGACAACAGGGAATGTTCAAAATAGTTTTACATGTTAAAATGTGTCCTACCCTGTGCACAATGAACAATTAGTGGAGGGTAGATGAATTATGTTAACTCTATCATATACGTAGCCTTAGGCTTCTTGCGCATGTGCACAACCCCCACAGAGATTGACATCAAGGTACATCCATCGTAATTTTAAATCTGTTGGTTGAAGAAGAACCTTCGCTAATGTACCTGAGATATTTATATGCACAAGTTGGCACTGGGACACAAGCTCAATACCACACTAGAACGCTTTGTGTATTAATCACCATTCCATACACACGTACACTGGGCCACCATATGTCAATACAGGATGAATGTGCTGCAATTATAGTTTTAAACTGTATCTCCAGTCTGGTTGAGGAAAAATACTTTCTAGGTAGACTACACACATTGAAAGGAATTTATCAAAAGTTGGTGTTTTTTTTTTTTTGTTTGTTTTTTTTTGCAGATGTATACATTTATTTTTAAACTGCTGTGTGATGTTTTTCATTTAAATCCGTTATAGCAAACTGTTTAAAATGGTATAAATACTTTTGTAAGATCTTCCACAACTGAAAGAGTATCTAAGCTGACCAGAAGACAAGATGGCTAATACGGGCAATTTTGGATCAAGTGTTCTTGTGATCCTTTTTAGATGCATGTTACCAAGAAATATCATTTGTAGATAATATAGTTATTGTTTATGGAATGATTATTTTGATTAATTGGTCACAATCTTGGAAAGCACAGTCTCGTGTATAAATGGCTAAGGCTTAGGTTCTTATTGGCATGTGTTATTCATTCCATAATTTCTGCGTCACCTCATTCTTTTTGGCAGTCTTGATATACCCGTGTCTTCTTATTTTGTTTTCAGACCGCAGTGTGTAGCAAAAGAAGAGAACCCGCAAGTGTTTTTCTGCTGCTGTGATGGGAACTACTGTAATGAGAAGTTTACTCATTTGCCTGATGTCGGTAAGTGTCAAGGTATTTATTATTATTTATTACAGGTACTTGTATAGTGCCATCAATTTAGGCAGCACGTTACATATATTGTACATTCACATCAGTTCCTGCCCTCAAGGAGCTTACAATCTAAGGTAGGTTAAAAAAAATTCTGTGAATTGTTATGGAATGATAACTAATTAATTTGCAGCTGGTTTCTTTTACAGACATCATAGGAAATCCTAAGTGAACTTTTTACCTCTGTACTAGTAAAGTAAGATTTTTTATGCATTTAATTCTGAAAGATCAGCCTGGCCAAAACTGAATTTTCAGTTACAGGTATAGTATCCTAGCCCAAATCATCTGCTGTTTTCTCAAACTTGTGGAAATGACTGGCATTTTGTGCCTTTTGTCATTTTTGGGTCTGATTTTGCACACATTGTCATATTTGGCATTTCTGCCCACCCAGGGAACAACTTCATGATTGCCATAGACTAGATCTGAAATAGGCAATTTGACTGCTTTTTTATTTCCTTAATTAGCCACATTCTACATTAAAACCAAGCCTAGAGCAACTCAAACATTATTGGGTGCCCGCTGTATTACTTGTTTCTTCTCGTCATTTGGCCTAACTGCAGCCTTCTCTTCCCAATGACTTTGGGACACGATGATATAACCTGCAGCAAGGCACCCAAACAAGGATAATATCCCAATGTGACTGACAGGTGCCGACATCTGTGTAAACAGTGATAAAACATTAAAATCTACTTATTGTCTATTATGATAGTCCTCAGCAACTTCTTGAGTGCCTTTTTTTTTTTTTAATTAACAAAATGCTTCTTTATTTTTTTAAAAAGAAAGTCGACTTCTTAAAAAGGAATCATTTTAGGTGGGGAGAAAATAATTCTTGAAATAAACTACAAATTAATGATCAGTGATTACTTTCCTTAGTCCTCATGCACACTGGATGTTTTTACAGCGGCTGTTTTTGGCTTTTGACGGTTTTTTCTACAGCCAGCAAACCCCCCCAGCATGTTATCCTATGTGTCCATGCACACATAGACTGTAATCAACGTTTTTTGGCTGGAAATAAAACCCCAGAACTAGTGGGTTTCTAGAGTTTTTTTAGCTGTAAAAATGCTCTAATGCTGAAAACGCAGCAAAGTGCTGTAAATTGCAGCAAACTGGCGTTTTTGGATTATTTTTTTTAGCAAAAAAAATTTTTTTTATTTGGTCAAAAAGAAAACTTGCTAAAGACTGCAAACGCGAAAAAACACGGCAAAACACCACTAAACGCTAATGCAAAAATGCTGAAAAACTCACGTTTTTAACATGACTTTACATGGCTAACTTTACAGGGCTAACATTACCAGCGTTTCTAAAATGCCCAGTGTGCTTGGAGCCTTAAAACATTATTTCAAACATATGTGATATTTATTGTATATAAACAAAATATTTTTTATTACCAGGGTCGGGGGGTGCATTTCTGAAACCAGTGCCTTTGCTTGTACAGTCATAGAGACTAATGTCTGGAGTTACCTTAGTCATTTTTTTTTTATGCTAGAAGATAGATGTAGGAGGAATTCATAAAACATTTTGTAAGCTCAAAACTACCTTCAGTAGTCCCTTATATTTTTTAGTGAGGAATATCCAGGAACAGCAGTTAACAACATAAAAATGACCTATTATAGTCCCTCCAATCTGTAAAGCAATTTAAGGTTTGACAATTTTTTGACCTCACTGTTTTTTGTAGATGCTGATATGACCACAAATCACTGTCTTTGTGATATATGAGCTTGTGTTCTTGGCTTTGTACACTTAGTGTGACCATCATATTGGCAGTCCCACTCTATCTTTTGGATTTTTAAAATAATATTAATGGTATTTTTTTTAAAATCACAAACGTATCTTACTTACCTGCTCTGTGCAGCGGTTTTGCTCAAAGCAACGCTGAACCTCTTGTTCTCAGTTCCCCTGCCAGCAGTCCTGGCTTCTACTCTCTGTTGTGTGCCACCATAGCAGCAAACCGCTTGCTATGAGGGCACTTGTGTATACTTACTCCTGAGCCCCACTCTGTGTGTCCATTGGCACACATAGCGGGGTTCAGCCCCACCCCCTGCTCCTTCCTCACTGGCTGTGATTTACAGCAGCAGGAGCCAATGACTCTTGCTGCTGTCTCTGAGCCAATGAGGAGGGAGCTAGCTGGGAGAGCCTCCGCCCTCATGGACACTGCTGGATCGATCAGGCTCAGGTAAGTATTAGGGGGGCTGGGAGAAGGGGGGAATAGCTGTACACAGGTTTTTTTACCGTCATGAAAACCTTCAGCCTTTACAGCCACTTAACTTGTATAAAGCAAAAACAACTATTTTAATCTGTTTCAGCTTACATTTGCTAATTTTCTTAGTTTCCTTTTTAGTGGTTTTCTTAATTTTGTACCTGCTGTTCTTGGCAGGAACACACTTCCTATCCCAGTGTGCTCAATTGCCTCCCATGGCTGTATGTATGAAGAAGTAAAGTTTTCATCCTATTCTGTTCTCCTGATTTGAACAACAATCTACTCTTCCTCTTCTCCATAACAACAAATTGCATAGGTAGGGGCGTTTCTGTAGTTCACAGAAGAGAACTAGTAAGCATGATAGCATTTTTTTATATTTTCGTTCATTGCACAGGAAGTTACAAGGACACTGGATTTTGGCAGGAGTATTATTACAGGTACTTGTATAGAGCTGTCAATTTACGCAGTACTTTACATACAGTGCTCAGCATAAATGAGTACACCCCTTTTGAAAAGGTAAGATTTTAATCAATATCTCAATGAACACAAGAACAATTTCACAAATTTTGACAAAACCTGAGTTTAATAGAACATTTGTGTAGCTAATTACATGAAAGTAAGGTTAATATTATAACTTACACTGCAAAATCTTCAGTTTTACTCAAATTAGTTGATGCAAAAATGAATACACCCCACAGCAAGAACTACTACATCTAGTATTTTGTATGACCTCCATGATTTGTAAGGACAGCACCAAGTCTTCTAGGCATGGAATGAACAAGTTGGCAACATATTGCAACATCGATCTTTTTCCATTCTTCAAGAACAACCTATTGTAGAGACTGGATGCTGGATGGAGATTGATGCTCAACTTTAGAATTCCCCATAAGTGTTCTATTGGGTTTAGATCAGGAGACATACTTGGCCACTAAATCACCCTGTTCTTCTTCAGAAATGCAACAGTGGCCTTAGATGTGTGTTTTTTTGGATCATTGTCATGTTGGAAAAGTGCACGAAGACCAAGGGCACGTAGTGATGGTAGCACCTTCTCTTTCAATATAGAGCAGTACATCTGTGAATTCATGATACCATCAATGAAATGCAGCTCCCGGACACCAGCAGCACTCAGGCAGCCCCATAGAAGGACACTGCCACCACCATGCTTCACTGTAGACATCATGTATTTTTCTTTGTACTCCTCGGCTTTGCAATGCCATACAGTTTTTAAGCCATCAGTTCCAAAACCTTTTTTCTTGGTCTCATTACTCCAGAGTCCCAATAGTCTTCTTTTTCAGCATGGACCCTGGCAAATTCTAGGCAGGCTTTTTTGTGCATGGGCTTTAGAAGAGGCTTCCTTCATGGACAACACCCATGCCATTCCTCTGCAGTGTATGCCGTATTGTGTTACAGGAAACAATCACCCCAGTTTGGCTTTCTACTCCTTTAGCTAACTGCAGTGAACTTGTATGGCAATTTTCTTCAACCTTTCTCAGCAGAAGGCACTCCTGTCAAGGTGTTGAATTCCGTGGACAGCCTGGACGTCTCTGTTAGATGTTTGCAGTTCCATCTGTGTTAAAATTTTTGTATCACTTTTGCTATAGTATTCTGACTGATAAGTAAAGCTTTGCTGATCTTCTTGTAGCCTTTACCTTTCTTCTGTAAAGAAATTATTTTATTTCTCAGGCCTTGTGACATTTCTCTTCCATGTGGTGCCACTGCTGACCACATGAAATGGGAAGGTGTTTTCCTTGTTAAGAAACGCCCTTTTATAATCAACTGTCTGCTGGACACCCGTTTAATGAATAAATAGACTCACCTGAGTTGAATTGCTGTTAATTAGGATTTTGTTGTCTAAAATTTAGCTTTGCTCCTAATGCAGGCCATAGACGGTTCGTTTATCGACCGATTTTTCGTCCGAAAGAATAATCGGCCGATTTTCGCACTGTTAGTGGGGCAATGGCATCGGCCAATTTTCACGGTTCCTCCTCATTTCGTTTATTGGTCAGTCTGGAAAATTCGTGAAAAATGTCCAATTTTCTAAATCATTGGTGGCAACATCGGTTTACAGAACGAACGATATTTCGTTTTTTCGGACAAAAAAATCGGCCGATAAACGAACTGTCTGTACATGGTCTTGAATGAATTTGTTGATAAAAATACTTATTTGTGCGTGCAAATTAACAAATCTTGTTTGCAATCAATGGCCCACATTTGAGGCAGTATTTCGTAGTATAGTATCCCATAGAAATTTTTGATTCTAAAAGGAAAGGTTCAATGACAAATCTGTTGCGGTGGAAAAAAATGAACTTCTATTAAATAACTAATGCAGTGTAGGGATTTGACCTTGATATTGTAAGTATACTATAATTAGCACTTTGTAGGTTAATAACTGCAATAGTTAACAAAATTGGACAAAAGGAAAGGGGGGGGGGTGGCAACAGTTAGAAAGTCTCAGAAAAATTGTAGCATCCAGATGGATTTTTAGGTGCATTAGCCACCTGGCACTTGGCTCTTGTCCAACTCTGCACAGGGAACAATAGCTGTGTGTGCATTTAGGAATTAACTTTCCAGGCAGGACTTGTATGAAACAGACCCCCAAAAAGAGGTCAGAAAAAAAAGTGTAGCAGTGCACACTGCATTTTTACCTAAGGCTTATGTACCATTTATTCCATACAAGCCCAATGTATACACAGATGGCCATGAAAACAATATTTACATCAAACCAAAACAATGAGGTGTAGAGAGCAGTATTCAA